AATAAGTCACCCTCATCTGTCTCCAGGATTCCTGCAGAAACCTCATTACCTCTGCCCACTTCTCCCCTCCTCTTAGCCCACTCAGCCCTGCCACAATGGGCTTTTTGCTGCTCCGCCAGCATACCAGGAATGCCTCAGGGCACTTGCATTTTCCTCCAGATAGCTGTGCCTGCTCCTCTTCCTAGTGTCATCTTCCTTATTATCCTATATAAAATAAGTCTTCCTTCCACACACTTCCCCTTAATTTATTTTAACATTATCTCCATAGTATTTATCACAACCTGACACAGAGAAACCATTTATTTTCCGATCCCACTTCAGAAAACAACACAAGAAGGTACATTCCACACAGAGGCTGTCTTTTTGCTCACTGTTACACAGAGGTGCTCAGTAAATAGTTGCTGGAGGAATGGATTCAGTAACTAATATATCTATGAAGCAAGACTTTTTTTTCAACACATCATCTCATTTAGTCCTCACAAAACTTTAAGGTACCTACATATTACAAATACAATTTTTAAAACAGGGAAACTAAAGCTTGACAAGGTTAGATGTATTACCTACAGTCACAGGCTTCCAAGTAAAAGAACTAAGATTTAATCCAAGATCTGAGCCTGTGTTCTCCAACCACACAATGAATGGTGAAGGGATCATTTAAGTGTTAAAATTTTACTGTTATTTTTTTACTCATTCTACAAATATTTACTGTCTAAGCTGACACATACTGTGATAGTCCCTAGGAACACAATGGCAAACTTGGCATCTAGAGGAAAATTTATGCCACTGAGTCACCAAAAACTAAGAAAATAAGAAAACTTTGAAATCAGAGACTGAAATTTAGAAGTTCAGCAGTCGCAACAAGGACTGCTCTGAATGCCTTCAAGTATGCTAACACTTACTCTGGGAAGGAAATTATCATAAAATTCTAGCCAAGAAGCTAGTCGGGGAGGAATCTGTATCAGAATCACCTGTGCAGTGTTATGAAACCCCTACAGAGGCTCCTGAGATTCTGGCACAGCTAAACTGACTTTAAGTAAAATGGAGGTAGGATAGGGAGTCCTATCTAATTCTAAAATAAGATATCTCCTCCCTCTTTGAGAATCACATCTTCCTTTCCCTACATGGCTCACCATGCTTCTCCACTTTTAAAATACCTATTTGCCCAAAATAAGGTAATTGGAGAAGTTAATTTTAACACAAAACACATTATCATAAAACTTGAGGATTTTCTCTAGGGACCCAAGAACAATAGAAAAGGAGGGAGAAATAAAATGTAAGATATGTTACCCTGCTAGACTTTACATATATCATCTCACTTAACAAATCTGCAAACTAGCAAACCTTCAAAGATCAAAGCAAGTGACTTGCTTCAAGGTACATGCACCTCACTCCCAACTCCACTGTAGCATTTGACTGAGTCTTCCTCAAAGACTCTGAGGTTCTTTAAAGTTCGGAAATGTCACACTAGTACCCCTGTGCAGAAATGAGTCAACTATGTTTACCTGCTCCATCCCCATCCAGAAGTAACTCAATAATCCCTACAACTATATGTCTATATTACCAAGTGGGTAGTGGAAACAGTTGTGGTACAAGGAACCTTACCCTGATTAGAAAACAACACAAAACTGTAAGGCGAAAAAAGCTCTGCCTCTGGGGTCAAGTATTACTCTCTGCCTTCTGCCATTCTTGATCTCACCATCCCATGTTATACCACGTGGCACTTAAGCCTATTTACACCATTATTGTTCCTGCTCCAATTATTTAGTTCCATGAAAACAAGGACTATGCCCATATTTTTTTTTTCAGTGTCATATCCTCAACACCCTGAACATACAGGTGCTGAATTAAACAACTGTTGGTGGAGTGAAGCAATGGACTAACAAGCCTCGCTTTTCTCATATGTAAAAAGGAGATAAGTGAGCTACCTCTCAGGATTTTGGAGAGAATTACAAGCACTTTACCGTAAATTACGCTGGGTTGGCGGGTAGAGGGCCGAAAAAAATGACGATCTGTCTGTTTCCACCCAACAGGCTAGGAATGTATATACTCTGGGACCGTTCGGGAAAACAGGCCCCTCCTCGCTCCAAGAGACTTCGGCGAGAGCGAGCAAAAACTTGGAGCTGTCACACGCGGGGCTGGGGGGAAGGCGGAAGGGCAGGCTGGCGTTGGTGGTTCCCGGGCCAAGTGTGTCCAAGGACGAAGAAAGGAGGACAGGCTGGGCAGGAAGAAAGAGGTGACCCCTTAGGCCGAGAGTCAAGGGTCAGAGAAAGGAGGGCAAGCCCAGGCCGGCGGGCAGGTAGAAGGTCGCCCTCTGGGCAGGAAAGTCTAGGCAGAGGCTGGCCTCCAAAAGCGGGCCCAGACAAGCCAGGGTCGGGCCGAAAAACGGCCACGGCGCCCCAGACCCTCCCGCGGCGTGAGAGCGGAAGGAGGCCCGCCCGCCTGCCCCGCTGCCCACTCCAGTTCTTACCACCTCCGAGTATCGCTCCTGACGTGCAGAAGAGACCTTCACCAAGCCGCCGCCAGACACACGCCAAAGGCCCAAAGGTAGAGTTCTCGCGAGAACACAACCTTCCTCCCACGCCTCATAACCACACGTTTGACAGTCTCGCGAGATCTCAGGTCCGGGTCAGCCCAAGGTTCTCGCCTGCCCTCCAGAGGGATCAGAGGGACGGTGCACAAGTTTTCCTGCGCCCCTGATCAGAGTTTGTCTTTTTGCCAGTTTAATAGATAAGGTTAAATGAAAGAAACGTTTGTCGAAGGCAAGTTCTGAAAGGAGGACTATCCTAAGTGATTTTCTCATACCAGATGTCCTCACAAGGTACATATTATTTAGCTTTAACTCACAGATGCAAAAATAAATGTCAGAAGACACAAAAGGACAAAATATGGTTCCATTTACATGAGATACCTTCAGAAAAATAGAATAATGGTTTGCCAGACTTGGGGAAGGGGAATTATTTTCATGGATACAAAGTTTCTGTTTAGATAATGGGAAATTCTGGATATGCGGTGTGATGATGATTGCACAGCCATGTCAATGTGCTTAATACCACACGACTGTACCCCAAAATGGCCAAAATGGTAAATTTTAAGTTATGTGTATTTTGCCACAATTTTTTAAAATTCAATAAATAAATGTCAGAGCCCTATTCTAAACTACAGTATCTGACTGCAAAGCATTTGTTTGTACCGTATCACACACCACACAATTTTCTACACTCCGAATTCCACCACTCTGTTTGCACCACCACCACACACCTCCCCTCACAATTTGACATTATCCACATTGGAATTTTATTTGTTTGTTTGTTTATTACCAGATGTTAAAATAAGGATCTTTGTCTTGGTTTTGAAGAAGTCCCCAATACTATTGCTAGCTGCTAACCTGCTCCTCAGATTTCCCAGAAAGATGGAAAGCCATCTGAGTAGGATTTGCAAAGGAAATGATTTTGATAGAGCTTTATGCAACTCACCCAAGAATGATAAGGGGCAAGGCTATCTCAGCAGAAGGCAACAGGAAACAAATGCAGAAGCTAAAAGGGCTGTCATGAAGGGGATTGGAAGGGGATGTTGTTGTTGTCACTAAATTGTGTCCAACTCTTTGTGACCCCACGGACTGTAGGCAGCCAGGCTCCTTTGTCCATTGGATTTCCCAAGCAAGAATACTGGAGTGGGTTGCCGTTTTTTTTTTTTTCCAGGGGATCTTCCCAACCCAGGGCTTGAACCTGTGTCTCCTGCATTGCAGACAGATTCTTTATCATCTGAGTTACCAGAGAAACCAGAATGGAAAGGGAGTTATGGAGAAAGAGGAGCAGGAGGGAATGTCTAAGAAGCCCATGAAAGGCCCATGAAAAAGTAAATCATCTTAAACACTGTCAGGCAGATGAAGCCAAAATGGCATCATACTCTTAATGTTCCTGTCCCTCATTCCTTTTCGATTCAGATGAAGATTCTGGATTAAGACTTTTTTTTTTTTTTGCAACTAAAAGTGACCAAGGGACTTTTTTTAAAAAATTATCTTATGGTGACCAAGATCTAGGACCTACCGAGACTGCTCAACTAGTCCACATAGTATGTTTGCACATATGGGGTGAGGGGTCAGAGGTGAACTAAAGCCCTTTACCAGTTGTCCATGGATTGATCAACAGAGGACTCTTTGCTTGCTTGTGATTTGTTATGTACACACACACCCAACTCTAAGCCACAAGAGAGCAGGGGCCTGGCTCACTACTGTATCCCCAGGCCCAGAACACTGCCAGGCACCCAGTAAGGACCTGTTGACTGAAGACATGTTCTGTTCACAGAAACAGCAAGAGACAATCAACATTGCCACCGTTTTAAGTTCCTAGGTTTTGAAAACTGATACTGGAGCACTGTACTGGAAAACTGTACTGGAGCCATTCCCCAACTGCAAGTCAAGACTCCTGGCTTTTTCACACCCCACTGGGTTGCATGTGGTCTTGGAGGCACTTCTTCCAGGTTACCCTTCTCTAACCTCAGGCAAACATGGATGTATATGAGGGACCCAGCAGATGCTCTCTGAAGAACAGGAAGGAAGATGAACATGAAAACCTCAAAGAAAAGAGGATTTTGTCTTGATTTCATCTCAAAGACATATTTATTTTTTGAATTGTTCACCAGATAGTGGGACACTGGGGCAGCAGGGCACAGATTATCAAAAGCTAGAAAAGCAGCAGTGGTCTTCTGAGTAAGGGATACACAATGATCTATTGGAGTGGAGGGAAAATATTATAACTTTTATCAACATGTAATTTTGTTTCCTCCTTTATCTGTTTGCATGCTTTATATTGTGTGTTATATCAATGCATACATAATTTAAAAATTAAAAGTATACACATACTCAAGTGTTTGCTTAAAACATTTTTTACTAATAGGTAGGGTTATACAATCAGACTGTTAGAGGCCATAGGAGAATGAAGCCTGACTTGGGAGAACCTGGGGCCCTCTGGGCGGGGAGCTCTGGGCCGATGAAAAGCACATTATAACACCCATGCCTTGACAGTACAGGTCTTTAATGGGTTCTTCTTCTCCAGCACTGTATAGGTGCAGGTCTTCTTATTGAGGACTGCCTGACACTTGTCTCTGTCATAATCCGTAGGTATAGCTGCACTGTCATTGAGAGAACAACACTTGTTAGAAGGAACAGGATGCCTAACCTCCCTGGGGGCTAACTTTGAGCTGGAAGCTGCCCAAACTCCAGGTGTCTGGAGTGCCCCTTACCTACATAAGGGATTAACATGTCACCCTCAGAAATCTGCACCCCAATACACAGGGCCTGAACTATGAACACAGACCATCCCTGACATCATGGCTAAATTCCATCCTGCACATGCTGGATCAAAGCAAGTTCCAACAGGTGCAGAGGTCTGGACTCCTCTGAGGCCAGGCAGCTTACTTCAGCCTGACTCTTTTTGTCCTTGCTGCTCAAGAAGTAGCCAGCAGTACTGTTGCTTGAATGTGGGAAGGGAACTGTCGTCCCAACCCTGGCACAGAGGGCCTGTTATGTCAGGAGCTAACTCAGCCAACGGAAACAATGGATCACTTCAGTCAGGGACCATGGAGCCCAGGGAGAAGCTGATGAAAACTGGAAAAGATCTCCCTGGGGAGAATCCACCCACACATTCAAGGGTGCAAACAATTTTAGGGCTTATTGCCCTCTTGAAACCCACCTATAAACTCCAGATTTAAATTGCCCATCTTCAACGTGCATACAAAATACAAAATAGCCATCTCTATGGCCTTTATGACAACTGTTTCTTTCCACAAAGTGACCTTTGACTTATTTTAACAAAAGAGGACATTTCAATCCTATTCCCAAAGGGTAATATGGAAACCAAAGGGAACACTGGAAGAAGATTTTCCCAAGGGTGGGTGACCTGGATAGTGGGGAATCCAGAGCAGCCTGGGCCTGGACCACCAACCTCAAGCTTGATTGCTTTTGGGCAGCTTCAGATCTGGACAGTGTCCCCTAAAGAGTGCAGTGAGTTAAGAAATTCCCCCAGAGAAAATTTTATCAAAACATGTATCACAAAAAAAAAAATTCACAAGAGAAACTTCATAGGCGGTGATATAACTGTAGGAGAAAGGGGTTGAAAACTTTGAGCAGTAGAGAAAATGTGCCAATTTCCTCCATGTGGAAATGGAAATGTCCTCTTTTGTTGAGTGAGATAGGTAAGGTGGCAGGAAACAGGGAAGGGGCTCTGTGGGCTCTGACTTGAAGTCAGTTTCTATCTCAGGATCGAGGGACATAACTGGTCTAAAGAAGATGTTAAATGTGATTTAAGTTAATGAATTTAAATGAATCTGTGTGTGTGTGTTAGTTGCTCAGTAGTGTTCAGCTCTTTGTGATCCATGGACTGTTGCCCGAGGCTCCTCTGTCCATGGAACTCTCCAGGCAAGACTACTGGCGTGGTTTGCCATTCCCTTCTCTAGGTGATCTTCCCAACCCAGGGATCCAACCCATTTCTCTTATGTTTCCTGCATGGCAGGAGGGTTCTTTACTTACTGAGCCACCAGGGTAGCCTGAATTTATATGAAGAATCTCATTTAATTAATTTATTTTGGGGGCCTTACTTCTCATCTTGCAGGATCTTTGTTCGCCAACCAGAAATTGAACCCAGGCCCATGGCAGTGAAAATGCCAAGTCCTAAACACTGAACCACCAGGGAACTCCCTCATTTAATTCTCATATTCACTTAATTATCCCTATTTTATGGTGAGAAAACTGAGTCTCAGAGAGATTAAGAAACTTATACAGGGTCACACAGCTGGTATACAAGGGAATGGAGATTCAGACTCAGTTACTCTGGCCCCAGCATTGAGGCTCTTTTCACTTCACTGTTTTCCACACTAGGTCCATGAGACCCCTAGAAAAGGATCACATTGACATGGCTGTGATGAGGCATCACAGAGTTGGGTGGGGAGGGTCAAACCTAGTGGACAAGGATGCTTTGGCCACTGTGGAGGGGCACTCTGATGCCAGAGAGGAATGGCTCAGTGGGTTTAATCTTGCTGATGCTATCACACTCCAGAGTCACATTGACACTTGATACAAAGACAAAAATCAGGTTTCAGGAGCACAGAATCAAGGTTCAGTTTTAATATATGACTCAGTCAAGGCAATACCTGCAAACCTGCTTCAGGTAGCCAGACATACAGTCTCTGGATCTGATATTCCTTTTGTTCTACTTAGCACTTGGCATGGGGCATGCTCACCAAATGGATTCAGAACTTTCCAGGTACTTAAACTTCAGTAACACTCGGGTGTTTTGATTTAAGTCAAGTGTTTGTGCTTCTACTCCTTGGTGGTAGGTATCACAAGACTCTCTGAGGCACCAATTAAAATCCAAATTGCATGGCCTGTAGATCCTGACTCAGTAGGTTTCAGAGGTGGGCCCCAGGAATCTGTACTTCATTAAGCTTCTCAGATGAGTCTGTGATCGGGCAAGTTTGGGGAACACTTCTTTACACTAATGCTTCTATCATCAAAGTCACTCTTGTTCTTGTGAAACACTATAGGGCCAAGACTGATGTCAAGGCAACAGATGGATGGGGGTGGGGAGGAGTGGAGGTGGAGTGGCTGATTTGGATGCAACTGCCGAGGAAACAGGAGAATTAGGACCACTTTGCAGGTACTCTCTGCTTTATTGGCCCAAGTACCAGAACTTTGGCAGCCAGAAGAAAACATCTGCACAACCTTTCAGGTGACTTGAGTTAAACTTGAGCAGTGAAGCAACTTTGGGTGTAGAATACAAAGTTCACTACAGAGCATCCTTTGCTCCTCACATTCATAGCCTCTGCCTGTGTTCAGAGCCATTCCTGTTCCTGCAAATTGCCACAGGCCAAGTGAGGCTGCAGGAAAGCCAGATCCCTTCTAGAACAGCTTCAGACTGTTGGGTACCCTTTCCTATTTTTAGCAACCCATATGGATATATATATTTAATAATAAAAGTTATTATCAAGATTCCAAAATGACCTAAAAGAAATAAGTCTGGGGTAGAAGCAACCCATTAACAGATACATGGATAAACAAAATGTGATATTATATATATATATATATGTATATACATATATAACAGTATCTATAGATATCTATGTATCCATACAGATAATCTATAGATATCTATATATCTATATATAATATAGATATAATTTAATACATTTAAATTTACAGATAAGATGTATTATTATATATTTAAATTTAATTATATTTATCTATCTAATATATATGTGATATAATATATTGAATGTAATTTTCTCCTTTTTAAAGCTGAAAAATGTTTACTGTATATATACAGTGAAACATTATTCAGCTTTAAAAAGGAAGGAAATTCTGAGACATGCTACAACATGAATGATTCTTGAGGACATTACACTGACATAAGCCAGTGTGGATGTTCAGGATGAGCCTCCCCAATATGTGCCACTTTTTCATGAAGCTTATTTTGAGCTAAAAGCAACAGACCCATTGCAGGCTCAAAAGAAACTACTGCCCACCCCCCCAAATCCCTAGAAGTATTTAAATTGAGGATTCTTCCCAGAGAAGAGTTATTACCAGAGACAAATTGTATTTAAGTGACCCCATTTATATGTCAGGATAAACATCTGAGTGACTGAACTGATCGAAACATCTAATTATGAAATGTATACTCTTACTGTTTTCATCCTGTGAATGACTCTTCTGTCCTTGCAAACCCCAAGCCCCTATCTCTTTCCTTAGCACAGGGTGGCATATGTAACTCATTTTACCTGCCTTTGTGCTTCTATCTCTAAACCTCTCATGTTTGTGGGATTCCCTTACATATGAAAATAAATTCAATTTTTTCCTGTTAATCAGTCTCATGTAAATTTAATTCTTAGCCAGAAGAGCCTGAGGAGGGGGGGAGTTTTCTTCCTTCCCAATACCAGTCATAAAAGGACAAATACTGTACAACTCCACTTAGGGTTGTCAAATTCATAGAAACAGAGTAGAGCAGTGCCAGGAACTAGGGAGAATAGGAGATGGGGAGTTATCGTTTAATGGGTCTAGGATTTTAGTTTGGGAAGAAGAAAGATTTCTGGAGATGGTGGAGATGGTTGCACAAAATCACAAATACACTTAATGCCACTGAAAGTTACTTTTTAAAATGGTTAAAAGTGTAAATTTTATGTTATGTATATTTTACCATGATTTAAAAAAAGAAAAGAAAGAAATAGGATTGAAAACTAAACTTCCTTCAAGATGGAATGTGGGGATTTTGATTTTTTTTGTTTGTTTTTTTAATTTTTTGGCATGGCTGCTCAGCATGTGGGATCTTAGTCCCCCAACCAGGAATCAAGTCTGAGCCCCTTGCATTGGAAGAAGCGAGTCTCCACCACTGGACCACCAGGGAAGCCCCAGGATGGGATTTTGAAAGAGGGAGTAGCTGTTCCTCAGACAGCACCCCAGCAGTGGCTGCCTCCCCTTCTCAGCCCGGTTGGCTTGAGACTTACGTGTTGCAACAGTGAATTCCAGCATCATCACAATGACAGGTTTCACAGTTGTCAGTGTTCCAGTCTGATTTCAGCTGGTGTGTGACTCCATTGAGATCCTTGCATCCTAAAATAATGCATGTGGCATCATCAGCAGAGTCCTAAAGTTATGCAACCAGAAAAAGGACACTGGGGCTAGTTGGTACCCTCTACTCCACCCCACTCAGAGAGAGAGAATCTCAATGATTTTACAAGCATCTCAGAAAAGTACTCATGTATTCATTCATGGCTAAATTCAGTACTTTCTAACTCATACTAATTTTCTTTTAGTTGGAGGCTAATTACTTTACAATACTGTAGTGGTTTTTGCCATACATTGACATGGATTTGCCATGTGTTCCCCATCCCGATCCCCCCTCCCACCTCCCTAACTCATACTACTTATCATATTTTCCTTATAACAAGATTAAATCTACCCAGAATTCATTTCAGAACAGACATTTCAAGAAAATCTAAGCCCCTCCCTCTTGAATTAGATAGCTATTATGAGCCAAAATTCCCTGATTGCTCAGCGGGAAAGAATACACCTGCCAAACATGAGATAGAGAAAAAAAGAAAAAAAAGAATCCACCTGCCAATGCAGAAGACTTCGGTTCAACCTCTGAGTCAGGAAGATCTCCTGGAGAAGGAAATGGCAACCCACTCTGGTATGCTTGCCTGGGAAATCACATGGACAGAGGAGCCTGGCAGGCTACAGTCCATGTGGTTGTAAAAGAGTTGGACTTGACTTAGCAACTAAACAACAGCAACAAATTATGAGCCTTGGAGTACTTAGGGTGACTTTTTTCTGCTATATTATCTCTGGATAAATGCCTCTTTTCTCCTCTTTTACTTGGTTTTCAACCTCAAAAGCACATATGAAACATCTTGGACACTTAAAAAAAAAACCCTGTGCCTGGGTACTAACATAGAACAAAGATATCAGAATCTCTGGGCATGGGGCCCAGGCTGCCATATTTTTGGACATCTCCCTCAGTTGGTTCAAATGTTCAATCATGAATGAGAACCATTGCTGTAGATCCACGGTGGTCTGTGGCTCTCATGTTTGCTTGAGGGATCAGCAACATTAGGACCACCTGAGGTCATGAGACATGAAGACTCTCACTCCACTCCAGGCCCACAGAATCAGAATCTGTACTTTAGTAAGAGTCCCAGAGTGTTTGCACACACAGTTAGTATTTGAGAAGTACTGGAATAATCAATGACTCTCAACCCTAACTGCATGTAGGAGTCAATCAAGAAGCTTCTAAATATGTAGATCCTATCCTTGAGATTCTGATTTACCTGGTTTTGAATGGGGCCTGAACATTAGTGAGCTTCAAAAATTCTCCAGGCAATTCTCATACAGCTAGGATTGAGAACCACTTTCTTTTTTTTTTTTCCATTTATTTTTATTAGTTGGAGGCTAATTACTTTACATCATTGCAGTGGTTTCTGTCATACTTTGAAATGAATTAGCCATGTATTTACATGTATTCCCCATCCCGGTCCCCCCCTATTTTTATTAGTTGGAGGCGAATTACTTTACATCATTGCAGTGGTTTCTGTCATACTTTGAAATGAATTAGCCATGTATTTACATGTATTCCCCAACCCGGTCCCCCCCTCCCACCTCCCTCTCCATCCAATCCCTCTGGGTCTTCCCAGTGCACTAGGCCCGAGCACTTGTCTCATGCATCCAAGCTGGGCTGGTGATCTGTTTCACCCTAGATAATATACATGTTTCGATGCTATTTTCTTGAAACATCCCACCCTTGCCTTCTCCCACAGAGTCCACAAGTCTGTTCTATACATCTGAGTCTCTTTTTCTGTTTTGCATATAGGGTTATCGTTACCATCTTTCTAAATTCCATATATATGTGTTAGTATACTGTAATGGTCTTTATCTTTCTGGCTTACTTCGCTCTGTATAATGGGCTCCAGTTTCATCCATCTCATTAGAACTGATTCAAATGAATTCTTTTTAATGGCTGAGTAATATTCCATGGTGTATATGTACCACAGCTTCCTCATCCATTCGTCTGCTGATGGGCATGTAGGTTGCTTCCATGTCCTGGCTATTATAAACAGTGCTGTGATGAACATTGGGGTGCACGTGTCTCTTTCAGATCTGGTTTCCTCAGTGTGTATGCCCAGAAGTGGGATTGCTGGGTCATATGGCAGTTCTATTTCCAGCTTTTTAAGAAATCTCCACACTGTTTTCCATAGCGGCTATACTAGTTTGCATTCCCACCAACAGTGTAAGAGGGTTCCCTTTTCTCCACACCCTCTCCAGCATTTATTGCTTGTAGACTTTTGGATAGCAGCCATCCTGACTGGCGTGTAATGGTACCTCATTGTGGTTTTGATTTGCATTTGAGAACCACTTTTTTATATAAATGGAATGTTGAAGTACCTCATTTTACTCCATTTATACATCTGCCATTACCCTCTATCTCATGCAGATTTAAGGTTATTCATCTGCCAATAGTTTATATTTACTGAGATACAATCAAATAACAAAACATTGAAAAGTCAGGACTTACCATTAGATGTAGAGCTCTCATTAGGTATGAAATAGCATTGGGCATTGCATAAAGTCACAAAGGTGGCTAAGACCACAAAGCTGCCCAGAAGAGCATTCTGTAAAGTAAAGAAGGGTCAGGGAAGAAGAATGAATGGATTCAGTTGGTAATTATTGACTGAGTGTTCTGTATGGGGGGTAGCTCAGGGCCCTGCTGGGCTCTGACAGGTGGTTTGAAGGTAGAGTTTCTATCTTCAGATAATCTAACAAAAAAACAAGATCTATAAAGTTACTAAAATTAACTGGGGAAAAAGCAAAATGTGAGTGAAAAGTCATAGAGCAATAATTTTGGTGTGCTATTTTATTACAGAAGAGTTCAGGAAACCCTTGTGGATAGATTTTTAGCTGCTTTGAAGGGCATGTATAATTTAAACGACAAAAATAAGGGAATGAAAAGAGTTTCAAGAAGACAATAGGATGATGAGAAAGATAATAAAACATTGACAAAGGTACAAAGACAAATAAACCACAATTGGAGACTTGCTGGAGCTTATTGGGGTAGTTAAGGTTCTTAGGCCACAAGGCTAAGAACTTCAGTTTCCAAATGATAAAGGCATTGCTGATGGCTGATGAACTTATCAGCTCATCTAGGCTGATAATGGATCTGTAGAACAAAGCAAAGCATCAGGTTGCTCTCGTCATCATTTTGAGGTAAGCAAACTAAACAAATAAACTTTTAAGGTGGGAATTTCCAAGAACCTTTTAAAAAGGAAGATGGGATGAGGGTACTTATTCTGTAAGTGTCTGAAATTAATTATGATCTGATGCTACTTGAAGTAGTGTGTTGCTGATATAAAGAGAGACAAATAAATGGAACAAGATAGAAAACCCAGAAAAAAAAAAACTTATTTATGAGTAAATATACATTATTAAAATAAATTTAGTCTTTGAAATCTGTAGAGAATGATTATTCAATAAATGGTATTAGAACAAATGGTGAACTATTTGAGGAAGAAAAAAAGTTAATTTTCTACTTTAGTTCTCACAATAAAATACTTTCTAAAAGGATTCAAAGGTTACATTTTTACAGTAAGACCATAAACTAATCACAGAAATACAGGCAAATATTCTAAGCAGAAAAGGAAAAGAAAATAAATAGGTTTAAGTATGTAAAAGTTGTAGTCATAAAATTAAAAAAACAATTATCAAATTTGGAGAACATCAATATATGAAGAGTTTATATATATCAATGAGAAAAAGAGAAGCATAGCTGAAAAATGATAAAGGAAACAAAGTGACATTTCACACACACAGGCACAGACCCTAATAGAAATGATGAATAAATACATGAGAAAGTTCCACTGACACATAACACAAGAAATGTAACCATGTAGATAAAACAGAATCATAACAGGGTGACAAAAATAATGATTTAATTTATAACACCCAGAGGGAAATAGAGACATATATGGGAAGTAAAATGCACAAGGGTGGTTTGTATTAGAACAATTTTTATGGAGTGTATATCCATTCAAATTCTTAAAACTATTTACAACCTCTGCCTTCATCACTTCTAAGTCTTTTCACTTCTAAGACTTGATCCTAAATAGAACAGCACAGAGGATATCAACTTCTCCTCAAGGATGTTCACTGCTGTGGGAAAATAGAAATAATCAATGCTCAAGAACAGGACTGGTTTAGAACATGGAGATTCAGAGAAGAAACCGGTCAACTGAGGAAGTAAGAGAAAATGAAGTGATGTGAGTAAACGATCACTATATATCATTAAGTGAAACACAGGTTACAAAGCAGTTTGCTTGGTGTGATTCCTACAATGTAAAAAGATACAGAGAGAGACTGATGGTTTTGTGGCACATTTTAACAAGTCATTTTTGAGCTGAGGGATTATGACTATTTCTTCTTTGGACTTTTATTTTCTAAATTGTCCACAATGAAATGCCTTGATTTTATAATCAAAGAAATAAATGAATTCTCACAACAAACCCTCCATACATTTAACTCACTCCAGGACTTGAGGCTGCACCTGCTCTCCCTGTTTTCTTCTTTTGAATAATCTTCAGCTTAAGATCACTGAAAACCTGAATGTTTTCTCAAAAAAAAAGCCAGCCTCATTAGCAAAATTTCTGCTCTCTTCATCCAAAAAGGGAGCTACTGGAAGGGGGGAAGTGATCACAGAAATCTTGAAGGTCTTGTTTCCCGAGTCTCAGAACAGAGGTGTCAATGAACATGAACCAGGGCTGCGGACCAGGGTAAGTGAGGAGTGCAGAATTCCCAAAACTCCTGCAGGTCTGAGCAGAGGCCCGTGATTCAGTGACTGGAAGATGGAATCCAAACATGGTAACACAGGGAGAACCAGTTATTCAGTTTTGAGATTAACCAATTGACACTGTCTCAAAAATAGCTTGCCACTGGCATGCATTTTCTCTCTCTCTCTCTCCCTCTCCCTCTCTCTCCCCTCGTGAAAAGAGAGGTTCCCCTACTTGGGTGGGCATCACCTGGGTTGCTAATAAGGAACACCCAGTCTCAAGTTCACTGAAGAAGGATAGGGCCTGGGGCTTTGAATATTTACCAAGTACCCCAGGTGAGAAGCACAAGAGAAATTAACAAACCCAGTGCTGCTGCAATGTGCATATGAATCCCTGGGGGGAATCTTATTACATAAAAAGCAGATTCTGATTCAGTGGAATTTAATGAGTCCTCATTCTAGCAAGCTCCCTGACAATGCCAATATTGCTGGTCTGAGGACCACTTCTAAACAGAGAAACTCTAAACTTCCTTCCTGTTCCCATATTCTAGTCTTCCACAGTCCCTCCCTCCTTTCTCTGCTTCCTTTCCTGTCTTCAGTAAACATGGGCCCCTGGTACCTGCAGGCACAGGAGACTGTGCAGCTATAAGGTTGGCATCTGTTGTATTTTCTAGACGGTGGGGCTTTGTGCCCAGCCTTGAGATGAAGCAGGCTGGTGATGTTCCTAGAAATTGTGTCCTTTGAGCTAAGTCGCTGCTCCTTGAAGAGCCTTGTCCTTATGATCAAGAGTCAGGGGTCTTAAGAGGGAGTCTTAGCCTGGGCAGGGGTCCTGCCAGGGCTGTAGCTTAGGGTTAAGTTCACCCTGAAGCTGGAGGAGGGTGTCTGAGCGGAACTGGGAGGATCCCACCATTTTTCTACTATTTCCAGCTCTGTCTCAAGACAGTTTCTAAAGCATGGCCTGAGGGAGGATCCTCTCCAGCCTCACTTTCTACTCCTGCCGGGGTGGGAGACCACTTCCTTCTCCTTCCCTTGCACCCTGAGAGCAGCCCACTCCATTTCCTTTTACTCATTCTACGAAAGGATACTTCAAAAAATATCAGGTTTAAATTAAAGACAGAGAAGGGTCTGGATGAGTTTTTATATATTTTGATGCACATTTCTTTCTTAATACAACATGAAACAATGAAAAGGGCCTAGGGTGTTGTCCCCAAATTTCGCTGAACATAAAAATCACCTGGGCAGCTTAAAAACCCTGCAACTCAGGCAGGCCTCACTGCAGACCAATTAAATCAGAATATCTGGGATGGGAGTCAGGTATCAATATTTTTCACTGACCCCCAGGTGATTCCACTGCACAGGCAAGTTTAGGGACCACTGGCCTAGAAATAGGGGCTCCTGGGTTCACGTCTCAGCTGCCCAACAGGCTCCTGGTGAGATCCCTGAGGCAGCTTGTTGCCTTCCCCAGGTTCAGTTTCCTGTAAAGTGACACAGTGCTGTGTAGCTCTGAAGTTATATTTAATTTCACAAGTCACTCACTCAAAGCCAAGGAATTAAAGAATTAGAGACATATATGGAACCCAATTTAATCCCCAAATTACTGGAAGAAATAACAGCTTAGAAAACAGAAATAAAGCTAAATTCACAAAGATGTTCCCAAGCTTCCAGATGCTCCTCCTCCTACACATTGTATTTCAAGTATAGAAGATTCATGACCAGGTCACATTTACCCTGAATAGTACTCAGTAGAAACATCCATCACAGTTAATGAAAATAAAGACTCTACATATCTTTTTCTTTTCTTCTCTTTTCTGTATGAAACCCAGTTACCTACCATTGTGATGAGCAGGAGTCCTTGCAGGCATATGCATCCAGGGAAAGTCACACTGCACTTATATCAGAGACGGCAACCGCATGTTTGGCATCATTAGAAAAGATAACACGCCAAGGTCACATTCAGTGTTTACAGAGGCTTGACTATCAACAGGAAAGTATGGTTTCAGATGATTTATGAGTCGTTCATAAATCAGGTCTCCACCCCAATCATGTGTTTACCCTTGCTGTTCCCACCCCCAATATGCATTTGCCTCTGATGTGAAAGAGCAGAGGAAGAGAACTCTGCTTTCCTGAGCCTTCCCTTGTGCTGAGTGGGTGGTTAAACACAGGGCCTGTATCTTTTTAGATTTCACACAAAAAGAAGTGAAGATTTACAAAGTCAGGTGTAGAAGGTGGGCTTCAAGAAGGAACATAAGAATAGTTTCGTGGTCAGCCCAGCAGGCTTCCTGAGGGTATATTTTGAGACAACAGAAATGTCCCAAGCCACTCTCCCTGGCTTGAGGACACAGCACCCTTTCAGCCAGGGTTCCCTGGACAATCCAGGCTTTCTAAAACCACCTCTTCAATCTGAAGTCGTCGCTCCTGACTATATCAGGCAAGCTTTCCTTCTCTTTGTTCAACCATGATCTTCTGAAAAGCCCTGCATGCCCACGATGGCCTTTGGGGAGTGGTATCAAACAGAACCTTCTGTTATATTTGAGGAACTTAGCATTTTACTAATTTGCTCGGGCTGCCATAACAAAATACTTTAGACTGGGTGGCTTAAACAACAGACATTTATTTTCCCACAATTCTGGAGGCTAGAAGTCTGAGATCAAGGCTGTTAGCAGGGTTGATTTCTGCTGAAGTCTCTCTCTTGGGCTTGTAGATGGCCACCTTCTCGCTGTGCCTTCACATGGTCTTCCCTCTAAGCACATCTGTGTCCTAATCTCCTTTTCTTACGAGGATACCAGTCATATTGGATTATGGTACAGTCTAATAATAACCTCACTTTGCCTCTTTAATAAAGGCCCTATCTTGAGTATAGTCATTTCCTGAGGTACTAGGGCTTAGGATTTCAACATACGAATTTGGGGGTAATACAATTCAACCCATAGCACCATTATATCCCCAAGTGTCCCCCTACAGCTTGCGACAGTGCCTAAAATTTCACCCTGGGTTTTCCTCTGCCCACAGAGGTTCGCCTCTTACTCGATTGGCTCTTAGAGCTCTTCAGAGCTGGCCATGGTGATCTTTTCCAGTGCCAGCCTCTACCTCCCCTAAAATAAGCCTTACATCCCCAACACCACTTGGGGGAGCTCTCCTGTTCCCTTAAGAGGCTACGTTCCTTCTCACCAGGGACCCCAAAGACCCCTGCACACTTCTGCTTTCATCTCATGTGTTTAAACTGCCTGCTGCTGCCTCGAAGTTCCTGAAAGTCAGGGGCACATTTGTCATGGTTCATGGCCCTTTGGTTTCTTTTGAAACAGGTTTGAAGAATCTCGCGCAATGTGAGTCCCATCACACCTAAGTAGCACCTAGGACTTGCCGTCCTAGAATCCTTGTCACAGGTGTGTGACTTCAGTTCCACACTTCAGACACATTGAGCAAGACCCCCTTAAGAAGGACACATGGCAACTGCCACTATACAGAGTCCCCCAGGAAAGATGGCAGTGGCTGATGCTACTCCCAGGGTGAGGGTGTCCAGAGTGTGGTGTCTAATGGCATGAGCAGCAGTGACTGTGAACAAAGGCAGTGACGTCTTGCTGGAGCCGTGAGGTTTGGGACTCTATCTGGCCTCGTGGCAACCAAGCCTATCTCTCTGGCCTTCCACAAAGCCTGTGAGCTGCCTGACAACTTTAATAAATTTCTTTCCTACTCACAGACTAGAGCAGGTTTGTTGCTTGCCACTGAAAGCTCTGTGACCAATTAGCGATCGTAACTTATTCCTATCCATGTTCCTCCCAGTGACTGACCCAGTGTCTGGCACAGAGCAGGCATGCAGGATAGAATCACACTAGGTGATTCCAGGTATTCCAGCGAAGGGAAAAGATCCTGACGTTGTCAACCAGTGCCATAGCTAGAAAGTGCTCACCAGCTATTCACTAGGTGCTACAAGGAAGGCAGTGCCTATCTGTGTCGAGAGGAGCTGAGCTGGCGCTTCTGATGGGGAAGGGATTTTGTGAGCAAGTGTGGGGGCTGTCCACAGGGAGTGGGGAGGAAGGAGCACGAAAATGGACAGTCCTCAGATGGTGCTGCAGCCAGCTCTGTCCAAACCTGCCTGACAAATTTTCACAGTTTGATCCTATTTCAATTTCATAGGCTGAAGGGACTTTATTTACTTTTTTTATTTTCGATTTTCATACACACATGCACACAGTGGTAGAAACAAAGAGAACATGGAGATAAGCAAAATAAACTCTGTGAAATTAAAAAAAATTCTGTGGTTGTTCTGTCTGAAGGGAACTATTGTCAGCATTTTGTAAGATTTCCTGTAAGAACTTTCTAGGTATATCTATCTATCTATATGTACCATGGGTTGTAACCTGCCAGTCTCCTCTGTCCATGGAATTCTCTAGGGAAGAATACTGGAATGGGTAGCCATTCCCTTCTCCAAGGGATCTTTCTGACCCAAGGATCGAAACTGGGTCTCCTGCATTGCAGACAGCTTCTTTACTGTCTGAGCTACCGGGGAAGCCCCAGGTATATTTTCATTAAGGAAAGGCAAAAATCATAAGCACTTTTCCCCAAGATAGAACATGTACATAATACTATACATAGGCTATAGAATGTCATTACAGAATCTGCTTTTCTCATTTAGCAATACTCTGACCGTCTTTGTATATTAACTATTTTAATGCCTACATTTTATTCCATAAAATGGCTGGGCTCTCATTTACTTAATTAACCTCCTCTTGTTGAACACTCAGGTTGTTTCTGACTTTTTTTTTTTTTCAAGAATTAGGAACACCAACCTAGGGATTTTGTTTTTTAGATAAAAATTTCCCCACACTTATACTACTTTCCTTAGGATATATCATAGAGGTAGAAATTCTGGGTTGGAAGTATTATTTCATTATTTGCTAACCTGAAAGATGGGAAATGTTACTTTGTTTTAGTTTACTTTTTTCTGATAATTGGCAAGATTGGACATTTTTGGTATATTTATTTGTCAACTGCATTTCTCCTTTTGTGGGTAGCACATTGCCTTGTTCTTTTACCTACTTTTCTATTTTGATGGTATTTATATTTTTCTTTTGGATGAGTAAATAGGCTTTTAATATATTAAAGATATTAATCTTCAACTGTCACAAATGTTAAAATTTTTTCCTCACTTTTTTTTAGTTAGAACACTGACTCTGGAGATTGAACTAAGGAATGAGTAATTTTCCTCACCTCTATTTTTACCTTTAATGTGGTATTTTGACATATAGAGATTTTAGCCTTTTTCTTAGATCTATCAGGTATTGACTATGCAGTTCCAGATTTTATTTATGTATGATTAATAGCTAGAAAGGTCATGAGGTTCCCTTTTGGTGGTGTACCACATTTCAGAACATTTTGCTTTCAAATAGGTAATTGCGTGTATCTGATAAAAACATTTAAGAAAAAAACCTCTCTTCTTGTCTCCCAGACTCTCAGTTTCTCTAGTTAGAACTGGCTATTACTGATCCCTTAAATATCCGTCTTCCTAGAGACAGTTTATACAGACATATTTGTGTGCACTCGCCTTTTGAAACACCATTCATAGCATGTTGCACACGTTGTTCTGCATTTGCTTTTTCCTCTTTTCCTCTTAGCGCTCTACTCTTTTTAATACTTGCCTAATAGAGATTCGAGTTCGATCCCTGGGTCAGGAAGATCCCCTGGAGAAGAAAATGGCAACCCACTCCAATATTCTTGCCTGGGAAATCCCATGGACAGAGGATGCTGGTGGGCTACAAATGAGCCCATGGGCTGGCAAATGAGTTGGACACAAACTTGCAACTAAACATTAATAATATCCTACCATCTGGCTATAGGGTAACAAGTCTCTTATTGATGAGATCTCTATTTAAGTTGCTTCCAGGTTTTACTCTTACTAACCATGCTGCTACAAACATGCCTTTGAACCCCATTCCCATAAAAAAAAAAAACCTTTTATCTTTAAATAATTTAAGATTCACAAGAATTTGCGAAAACAGTACGGAGAGTTCCTGTGTATCATCAGCCAGCTTTTGCCAATGATAACATCTTAAATAACCATGGAACATTTTCAAACCAACAAGAGATCGACCTTGGTACAGCGTTAACGTACTAAAACTAAACTATAACTTTATTCTGATTTTATTGGTTTTCATATGCACTTTATGGCAATTTCATGTGTCCAATTGCCACTTAACAGCACTTCCCACTTGCCTTTCTGGGCCTTTTCTACTTGTGTTATTTTCAAAGCAGCATGGGGATAAGTGGAGGTGCCCCAACACACGTGACATCTTACAACAGCTTTGTCCTCGCCCAAGTAACACTGGACATTGCCTAACCTTTTCATGATCGACAATCCCTACCAGATGGTCTTTATAAAGGTCCTCTATTCATTGTCAATTTATCTCTGGATGTGTGTGTGTGTGTATGTGTGTGTGTTAGAGAGAGAGAGAGAGAGAGAGAGAGAGAGAGAGAGAGAGAGCCTGGAATAGCAGGGAAAGTCTAGGATTCATACCACTTTAAAAATATTTCACAAATTTGTTCCTTACTTTTTTCCATAAAGATGGACATGATAAATTAAAAACAAATATGACATATTGGGGCAAGGGAAAAATGATTTCAACTAGTCCAGTGACTCCACAGCTGCCTGGGTGTGTGATCCTGGGCAACACACTCTAAGGAGTGGCACAAGCTTCCTAGTGCTGAAGAGTCAGTATCGCTTCGTAAGGCTTAGGATCCTGCGTTCTGCAAGCAGACAGACCAGAGCTGGACTCCTGATTCCAAAGTGTTTACTGTGTGTTACTTGTTAAGCAAGTTACTTAACCTCTCTGTGTTTAA